CAAAGCTATTGAGAGGGAGACGGAGGAGGGAGGGGGGGAGGTGTTGGGGGGGGGGCTTTATGAATGGCAGACATTAGGAGTTGCCATTGCCGTCGGCCAAACAGAAGGAGCAGGATGTTTGTGTTTGTTTGGGTGCATGCTGGGTAAAAAGTGAGTAAAAAAAAAAGAACGAAAACTAAAGCTCTGTTATTGTAGAAGTCGTTTTTTTTTTGTCTTTTTGTTTTTGTCTGTGGTCTCACTGAGGCCCACGATCCTATGATTTCTTTAACACTATTGATTTCAGCCAGAGGTGTCGCTAAACTCTCTTTTAAGCACTGAAGCTACAAAATTAAAAAAAACATTTTACTGACTGACTGGTCCGTTTAAGCACTGAAGCTACAAAATTAAAAATTACTGACCGACTGGTCCGCTGCAGGACGGGGTCAGTTGTCATTTACTGTTTTTATATGACACTTCAAACGACATCTCACATCTGACCTTTCCATGTGTGATGGAGGCCACGTTCACGTGTGACCCAGATGAATACTGCAGTCAGATCCACGTACAATAAGATTAAAGCACTTTGGTGACGCCTTATACCTGCTCTCCACTAGAGTGTGCACCATTAACAGGACCTTAGTGACCTGAGTTACTGTCGGTGCTGACTACATCAAAGACATCACATGAACACAGATGTTAGGGTTCCAGTGCGAACACGTGGGATTGGAGGTCAGACCTTGTGCAGTGATGTGCGCTCCACCAGCTGGAACGGGGCGGGGTCGATCTTGCAGTTGTTGAAATTGACCTGCTCGTCAAGCTGATTCTCCTCCCACTCTGCAATCTATAGACAGAGAGAGAGAGAGAGAGAGAGAGAGAGAGAGAGCTGAGTTAGTGATAACAGTCAGACATCTGTAAAGATCTCAACTGTAGGAGCAGACCGTCAGCACATCGTCAGTGCTCTGAGTCTGAGGAGCCACTGTCTCACTGATGAATCAATATCTGTTAATAGTTAATTAACAAAAGTGCACCACAGTCACCTGACCTCCAGCTTCACTACGCAACATTCAGCATCTCAGGACACAAGGGAGAAGAATGAAACTGAAATATCAGTGTGGTGGTCAATGACGTCACACAGTTCAAATCTGTTCAAATATGTTGTACGAAAGTGGGTTTGTTTACACAAAACTGTTAGATTTACTAGATATTTCTCCAATTTTTAAAATTTTTTTAAATGACTTCCTGACTGCTCGTGTTACTGAGGGAGAAAATCATCATGAATCAGTGGAAGAACAAACTAATATCCTCTGACAACTAAAACTAAACACAACCTAATAGAGATAAAAAAAAAAACAGATATCAAATATAAAAAACTAAAATAAAACTTTTGAATGACAAAGTAAAAATGTTCAGCTTTTTTCTTTTTTTAAATAATAATGTCCAATATCTCCTGCTTTAGATTTATATATTTGACATTTATCCATAATCCGTGATGAACGTTTCACAGCCAGACGTGTATTTTCAGGTTCAGGTTTAAATCCACGGGGACAAAGTGTAACAGACAGTGGCTTTATGTTTGGTGTCAGAAGACAAAGGCATGAAATTATCCCAACCACCTTCTACAAATCACTGCCTCTGATACACAATCAATGGAGCAGACACTGCACTGAACGACTCCATAAATCATCTGAGACCCACAACGTTGGCAGAGCCAGCGCCGTGAATGGCAGGCGTGACATAGGAACGGCGAGAAGCAGCGGCCGGGCAACCACGGAGACTGACTGGAGAGGATAAAAGTGGACGGGGACGAAAATGTGAGGAATGAGCGGCAGACGGACAGGAAATGAGAGGGAGTGTTGATGGATGAATTATGAATGATGTCATATCCAAAAATATAAAACTTCTGTCTTGGGATATTGAGAAGAATTGAAAGGCAGCATTCACGGGTGGTGGCGTCAGACACACTGAAGGAAATGGATATTAAGGACGGAACTAAAAAACTCAAAACTAAAAAAACAACCACAATGTGTAATTGTTGTTAGAAACAATAAGACTGCGGTATTAGTTCAAAATCTACCACGTGAAATACATCCTCGACCTTTTTGTACCTGCGGAGTGGTAATACCACGCCATGATTAGATTTTCAAAATAAAAGTCTGAATGACCTGTTATTTTCAAACATTGTTAGAACATATTTTAATGAAAAAAGTAAAGTGATATGACTGGATTCTTAAGTTTATTTTTTGTCCCACTGCGGCCCCTGTACCAAATGACCTATGGACCAGCACCGGTCCCCGAACCAGGGGTTGGGAACCCCTGTAATACATGATAACCTATGTGTCAGAAATCAGTCTTTGGCTTCAAAGTGATGGAATCTGCGTTGCGATGGAGAACTGTTCATGGTGTTCTGTACTCCACCCTCACTGACGAACGACGCCACGTCATTAAGCAGTAGAAGAAGAATGAACGCTCTCTCTATTCATCGTGGTGTCACGTGGGATCTAATTTCTAGAGTGTTGTTCTGTTGTTTTGGCTGCGTAAGCACAAGTTTGGGGACACTGGTGTCAGACAGACAGAGTAATGAACCACTGGCCTGGTTCTCACTATAGAACGTGCGTGCAGCTACAGAAGTGCGACAGCGTGGGTCTCTCACCTCTCTGAGGGTCATGTCGTCCTCCAGATCTCCATCATCCTGCACAAGATAAACAGACGAGGAGTCAGTGAAGAAGACGAACAGACATTTATTCAACCACCACTTTGTTCACGTCTTGTTTGTGCACAAAGGGTAAAAAAAAAACGACAAAAAAAAAAAAAAAAAAGCCCTCAGCGCAGTCGTCCATGAACCACTTGTGGCACCGTATCAGCACTGATGGACAGAAATGAATGAGTGACTAAAAGCGTCGACGGTACATTTAATGAGTGCGGGGGACGTGATGTATGAGATGTCAGAGAACATGATCATTACAATGATGGATCTGAGCTGTGCTCCCAGCTCACGGCTCAGAGCTGACGAGGTTTGACGAGCCGTAGTCGAACCATCAACCCTCGACTTCACGGCGCAGCACACACAAAACACACGTCCTCAAACTTGTTGGGAAAAGAGAACGTGTTCTGACGAAAACATTTTTTTTTTGGCTATTTAACTCCGACAGCTCAGTTGCTGCAAAGTCTGCTTTTACAAACTTCATTTCAGTAGAAGAGAAAATGACAGCAGTCCGTCATGTCCAGCATCCGTGCACATAATATAACCACAAATGATGGTTCAGGTTTTGGGTTGCCACATCTGAAGTCTGCATAATGATTTGGCTGATTTTTTTGGAAGACACACTGACAGAGTGGAGCTGTTCACCTCCACAAACATTACCCATCAATTCCATATCGGTTTACAGCACCTACAGATTACATTCACCAACACCTCATCTTAGGCGAGGCTTCTCAAAGTGTGGGGCGGGTCCCACTGGTGGAGAGCAGAGACATAAAACGTGGGGCACGAAAAACTTGAGGAAATTTTCAAGGTTCAAGTGATGATGGCACAACTTTTACTATCACTTTTTAAACTTTGTGTTATTTGATGTTGATTTAGAATATTTCGTCAATCAACAGGTGTTGGTCCAGCCAATCCAATCCAATCTATCATCTACCGTTACACTCCTGCCCTAAAACTTCCAGGAAAAAAATGAGAAAAAAAAAGAAACAGTGAGAGTGTAGAGCCCCCTCTAAGGTGTGCGGCAGAACTGCAGTCAGATCTGTGCTTAAAACAAAGAGAAGATCTGGTTCCATGTTTTTGGATGTGAACCCCTGCTGATGCAGCAGATCGTGTGTTGCAGTAACCTTCAGTTTTGCAGTAACTCCACTCCCCGACCACCGCTGCTGCAGCACCGATCGCACAAACAGACAGTCACGCAATTTACAACTACAGCTCAGTGTCGTCACAGGAGAGTTCAGGAGTCGGGATGATTCCTCAACCTTTGTCCTTCCTGAGAGAAAGGCATCATTCCAGTTATGGGTAATTGTTTCTCAGCCCTCTAGGGGGTTTTCCTGGACCTTTCTAGGAACAACTGCTGAAGAAGACACTGCAGAGGTCGGGTTGAGGCGACGCCACAGCGGAGCGCAGGAGAATATTTTAGGCTGGTGCTTATACAGCTGTTCCTGCGTTCCTACGTACGTCTGTTCAGATGCTTACGTACAAGTATTTACTATCTGGGGATTAAATGCAGCAGGACATGTGCCAGTATGTGTTTGATAAAGTAGAGAGAGAGGCACGGTGTGTGCTGCTGAGTCCCAGGGGCTGATGGGAGCTGTGAGCTCATCTATCCTTATCACTGCTGTGGCTGACTCCTCAGTAACCCTTAGAAAGTGTTGCTGCAGGGGGAGCACAGAGGCGTCCGACTGTAACGTTATGCAGCCGAGAGGCCAGTCGTGACACACACACACACACCAACCACTAGCTCTCACACATCATCAGATAAAACCACGAATGTCACAGAGTCAGAAATTTGACTCAGGTCATGTTATGATGAGCGCCGTCCAAAGAATACAATCTTTTATTTTATAATCACAGGGTGGCTGTGGATTAATCACGATTAATCAAATATGACTGCTAACTATGTCATATATATAACATAGTTAGCTTCATATATATATATATATAACATAGTTAGCTTCATATATATATATATATATAACATAGTTAGCAGTTTTAATATTTGATTAATCATGATTAATCCATGTAAGTATATATACGGGTGTGTGTTTCACCTGTTTTTAGTGAAAATTTTGAAATATAAGTATATATACGGGTGTGTGTTTCACACCTGTTTTTAGTAAAAATGTTGAGATGTTTTTTTAAGCTCCAGGTTCATTGGTGAAATGAAAACTTCTTCCTCAGTCTGTGCAGACAACAACAACATTCGTGTAAACCGTAACTACGAGTGGACGGACGGTTGAATTGTTGGATATGGAATGCACGTGATTTCAACTTTCAACACAAATCTTTACGGTTGAAGAGGTCATTTTGAGCGTCGTCCTGGTGTGAGCGCTCAGAGACGAAACAGGTTCAGTTCAGGACAGGATTGAGAGACTGGGTGTATTTGGTGTGTGAGTGTACTGTGTGGAACAGTGTGTGGGCACAGTGCCGCTCCAGATTACTGACAATGGTCCAACAATGAAGCTGTAATATTCTGAGTTTCTCTGAGTGGATGAATATCAGAGAGGTCGGTCGCCCCCTCCTGCCTCCTCCCTCCCTTTTTTTTTCTCTAATTCCATCCAGTGACCACATTATCTGTGGCGAAAATCCAAGACCAGGTCACTGGGCGGTGCAACGATCCTAACGATCATGGCTGACAAATGATTTTACTGCCATAAAATGCTTTCATTTCTCCTTTTGTAAAAGTTAAAAAAAGAAGTCGGTTTGCCATTGGTTTGAACCTGAACACGGACCACGGTTACACTGCGATAATCAGTGGACTCAGAAGTTCAGGTTTCTCATCTGTCTAACTTTAAAGTTTGTTCATGTGGAAATTCTGCTGCAGTGCCATTACAACGGAGATGAATAAAACATCATCAACAGCGTTGGCTGCGCAGCGTTCACTGTCGCATCTTAAGTGCTGACGATGCAGGAGTCGTACATCAACAATAAGAACAGTAATAGAAGAGCAAAAAACGCCTGCGTGAGAATTTATCAAACACCTCCTTCTCTATCTGAGTGAAATATGACCATTGGTACCAGTCGGATGTGAGGGAGTGTTGGGCTGGTGGAAAAAAAATATCTCTTTGGATTAAAGTTAAAGATATTAAGATTAAGTTAAAGACACCTCCTAACTGGACTCTTCCTCGGCTGATCCAGGCCAAGGTCACAGAGACAGCAGCCTCAGCAGAGAAGTCCAGAAACTCCTTTTTATGACCCTTTTCCCTCTACACCCCCTGGGGAGGATGCCTACGTGTTCCCAAGCCCAGTGGGAGATCAGTCCAGCGTGTGCTGGGTCTGCCCTCGGGCCTCCTTCTAGATTAGTGTCCCTAAATCACCTTCCAGGAAAGTCCAGGGGAAACTAACAAATAAAAAAGAACAGTATAAATCACTGTCACCTTTTTACCTGGATACTCACTACAGTCAGACTCTTCTGATTATCTTAACTTTCCACCTCATCTCTAAGGTTTGTATCACCAAGATGGAAGAGTCTATGCTTAAGTTTTACATCCGCATATTGATTCTTATGTCCAAATCCATTTTTAAATTTTAAAGCCGGCCTTCCTCTGTTCAGAGGCCTGACCTTCCCTGGACAACAGTGTGAGATGGTCTGTGACAATCTCAGCCACAGGGGGCAGCAGAGACTTTGATGGACCAACCTGACTGACGTTGACTGCACATAAACATCCAAATTAAAACACACTCCGACATGTGTACTGCACATCCATATCCACTGTGTGAGGTCACCTCTCCCTGCAGTATGAACATCGCCTTATTAGCACTGAGCAGCGGCTGAACTAAGTGAACTACATTTACATATTCAGCAGATGCTTTTATCCAAAGCGCCTTACAAGAGGAGGATTAACAATCAACCCTGTGGCTCCTCTGGGAATCGAACCCAGGACTGAGTGCTCTCTGCTGCAGAGGCGGCCGTGCTAACTGCTACGTAATGGAACCGATACTAGTGGAAACTAAGCTCTAACGCTCCAGTCACAGAGCTGATAACTGGAGCCAAACTCTCTTTCTTTTTCCTTCATATCCAACAGTTGCTGCTCACAGTAAAACAGTGAGTGTGATCTCAGGACCGTAGTCTTCACTCTCAATTAGGTTTGAACACAAACGCCAGGTAAGAATCAATACACACATCCTGACCCAAGGGCACAAGCAAAGTGTAATGTATGTATGAAACACGTATGATAGGAAAGTAGGACAACCCCCCGATAGTTAAAGAAAAATTGTTAAAAAATAAAAAAATAAAAAAATAATAGAGAGGAGCAAAAAGAAAACAAAATAAAAAGATATATAAAAGCCCAGGAGCTGTCATAAATAAAGCCCAAAGGCACTGCGGCGATGCCAGAGTGAGCGGAAAAGTAATGAGAAAAACAGTGAGCAGAGACTGAGGCTGGGCTGCATTATTTCTCTCAAGCAGAATAGTGATGTCATTTACCCTGCATCAATATTTCACAGAGTAGATGGAGGGACGGAGGCGCGAGTGCTGCTGCTGGAGGAGGAGGGAACAAATGAGGGGCGGGATCCATGGACAGAAGAGAGAAACAGAAGGAACAGAGAGCAAGACGCAGAAACCGATGTGGTTAAAGTAGAACACGGGGAAAAAAAGTGAGAGATTGGGAGTTGACGACAGTGGAGTGGAGTGGAGTGGGGGGAGGAAGGAGTTGACCCGTCGTCCTTCTTGGGGTTCAAACTGTGAATTCCCCAGAGAACAAAAGGACGAGTTTGATTTGTTTTTTGTTTTTTTTTCCCACTCCAGCTCAGGCTCAGACTCAGGCTCAGGCGTCCTCTGTGGATTTAGAATAAGGCTGTAATCAGCACTTCTCTGCCACAACCGCTTAATACAGCACCACTGAATGGTAATAAGTCCTGAAGATGGAGAAAATGGCCACCAGCGCTAATGCTACTGGGAATGTGCGCGCAGCACGAGCTACAGAGGGTCTTTACTAATGAACTTAGTGAACGGCAGGACGTGGCTAACACAGTTATGAGCCTCTTTAACACATCCAGAATCAGTGCACTAATAAATACGGCCTGTCGTGACTACGAGTGTCGGATGTGTTTTATTATGGGCTCTGGAAATATATTAGTGGAGTTTATCTCCTCAATCCCCGGTCTGTCTGTCTGTCGGCCTGTATGTGGTGTCCATGTTCTACCTGAGTGTGCATGGGTTTACATGTAGGATTAGGTTGAGTTACACTGACCACAGCCATCAACATGAGGGTGGAGGGACGGATGTGGCCCAGCAACTGACAACAACTGAGGAAACAGCCACAGAGGATGTTGTCCATCCATCCATTTTCATCCGCTTATCCATTACCCAAATCACACTGCACCGGACCAACCCCCCCCTAAACCTTCCTGCAGGTGGTGAGTCCACTGGAAGGTACCAACCGCCCTAACCGGGATTCGATCTTGCCCATGAGGTGAACCCTGGAGTTCCACACCAATGACAGAGACATTGCCTCTGGGCCAAAGCGCCACCAGAGGAGGCTGTCGATTACTGAAATTGGTTCAGACCCAGGAGTGCAAAATCTGTCATCCATCCATCCTTTAATCAATTTACCCATCCATCCTCCCAACCACCCGCCCACCTATCTTCTCATCCATCCATCCATCCTGCAGCAAGAATCCCTGTGAATAGCAGCATTTCCCACTTTTCTTTTTCCCACTCCCTGATGTGCACTTGTTACAGAACTTTCTAAACTAGTTGAATATGTATGCAGTACTTCAGCCTAGTCATTAAAAAAATAAACTAAGAATAAGAAAAGGCTAAAGGAAAGAAAAGGCCGAGGAGTAAACATGATGTTTACTCAGGGAAAAAAACAACGTTGTCAGAATTTTTTCCCCCTTTTCTTTCAAACCAAACTTCAAGACTCCGCGGCGTGATTCATCAGCTGCAGACCATTGTTCCTGTGCTCAGGGCCTGGAGCAACAGAAGAGGAATGATGTGACACAACTCTGTGCTTGTGAATGATTGAAAATGTGCACAGACTTCAATAACTATCGCTGACATGGAACTGATGGAGTCCTTTCCACTGCCCCGGGTCGGAATCATTAATTGTGCTAATAGAGTC